CCACAGATAGCTCTCCTTCATGGCCAGCCTCACAGGAAGGAACCTCAGGAAGAAAATCAGATGGGCGTGTGACATTGCACGCCTGGAGAGAGGAAAGCCACTTTCCTCCTGAGACCCAGACACTGCAGAGAGCATCTGCCCCCTCACTCAGGCCTCCCCCGCCCCCATGGGAACTGCACACTTGTAGAACTTGGCAGCTACTTGTCCACACCTCACTCCTATGGCTCAGACTAGGATCGAGACTTCCAGGATATCAACGAGACCCCCATTACTGTTGCCACCCCAGAGGCTGGCCAGACTGGCATCTTACCTGCCTGGGGAAGGAAGCAGTGTCTCTGTGGGTCCAGACTTCCCTGTCTGTGCAGGGTTCTTACAGATTTCAAAGGAGCAGGGGAAAAATACTTATTAGTTTATTTGCTTGCAAAGTTTTCATTATTGTAAATCTTTGGGCTGGGATGACACATGACACTTCAGTGTACTAGAGGGGATGAGAGGTGTGATGTCCAGGTGAATCCCTGAGAGGTATGGGGAACTTGGACATGGCAAGACTACAAGGCCACTTCCAAGACTTGAAGTGTGAACATGATCCCTGTGTTAGAGATGTGGCAGTGCATTCTGGGAGGACATCACAGGTGAAAGGGCAAAGTGAAGGACTTGTTCAGGCTTTGGTTCTGCCAGAAGGAAGGTGTTTGGGGGAGAGGCCAGGAAAAACCATCAATTGAACCAGACTAGCAAAGTGGGCAGGGAGGGTGAAGGGACGAGCTGAACACTGCATTGTAGGAGCCTGCCTTTGCTGGGCGAACAGCAGGAAGCCAGTGAAGGAACTGAGCTGGAGCGTGATCCTTGCCTTGAGGGTACTTGGAAAGAAATGTTTCTGGCTCCAGGGGACATGATGCGTTAGAGAGAGAGATCCAGGGTGGGGATGGTGGAGGGTGGAGACTAAAGCAGGCGAGTGTGGCAGCAAGTGAGTGGACAAAGATCCACAAGGGGGGCGGGGTGCAGTGGGGTCGAAAGGAGGGTTTGCATAAGAGGAACAGTGGTCCCCATTCCCTTCCCAGGGAGGGTTGTGCTCCTAGTACTCAGGCAGAGAAGGTGCTGAGACTCAGTTATAGAGAAGCAGAGCTTGTCTGCCTGGACAAGAGGTACCTCTGAGCTCCTGCTGTGCTCCCAGATGTGGGGTGAGGCAAGGAGGAGGGGACTTTCTGAAATAGACTGGACTATGTGAACCAGCAAACTCTACAGCAGGAGTGGCTACCACTTGGGAGAGGGGACAGTGACTGGTCCTTACTCTGGCATAGAAGGTCCCTGAAGGTCAGCTCCATATGCTCCATCAGCACATCTCAGTGAGCAGGTGGCTCCAACTGCTAATAGCCAAGAAGTTAAAAACTCCTCTATGTTGATTCTGAAAAGAAAACTAAAGTCCCTCTGTAAAGATGAAGCCCTTTTGTTTCCCTCTCTCTTTCAATCTTTGCCTGTTATGTTGTAAAGAAGAGGTGGGTGGGGGACTTTAGAAGCCTAGAGTGACAGACAGGTCTGCAAGGCGTGCTGAGTAGCCCTGTTGCACTGGAGAGAGGTGACTGGAGAATAGCTGCCACAGAATAAACCTTGGGCTCCCAGGGAGAGGCCCACTAAGTCTGAGCCAGAGATACAGACCCACAGTCCCAGGTCCCAGAAGAGCCTCAGCCAGGGAGGGCCCTGCTCCCTAAGAACAGAGGTGGGACTTCAGGAAGCTCCCGTATGGGAACAGGTGTCAGCTTCCCTGTTTCTGCTGCCCCTCAGAGGAGGATGGCTTTCTCATCTTTGTTGAGGGCATGTGAGGGGAAAGCCTCTTTCTCCAGTCAGACCCCAGCCGGGGTGGCCTTCTTTTCAGGGATGGAGGGACTGGCTTGGAATTGACTTGTGTAAGCCCATATTTTTGTTTCAGGTCTCCATTTTGTAGTGTGAGTCTGCCTTTCCATGTGTGGGACCACAGAAAAAGTGCAAGATGAGCTTACAGAGTGAAGAAAATGTGCTCTGTCCTCCTGCCTTGGCAAATGTAGCTTCATGCATCCAGAAGACTGAATTTAGAATTCTCAGGTTCCTGGAAGCTTTGTGAAGTCTGCAGCGTTGGGAGAAGCTTTTCCCCCGCTCCCCTAGACCCACCTGTATTCTTACTTCCAGCTCCATCCACACTGTGTGCATTCTGTCCTCCAACCTCGACACGCAAGGTCTGTCTATGCCGCTGCAAGTGTCAGCTCATGGATGCCCCGCTGGCCTAGGGGTGCACACACCAGTTGGAAAACACACCCTGGGAAGAGGTTCCCAGAGTTTCCCTGGAGTAGTGGGGTACAGGTCCCATGGCCCCACAGGGAAGGCGGCTGTCAGAGGGAATGCCAGGCAGTGTTCTCTAAAGTTTGACATCTGGGCCAGGGCTCCTATACCCAACCTATCATGGAGATTGAGAGAGAAGCTGAAAGAACATTCTAAGATAGTATTTCTGAGCAATAAAGCCTGCTAAGTTATAGGTCAAAGTCAGTGGTGCCACCTAATTTAGCAATAGCTTTCCAATCTTACCAGCCATTTCTCAGAGAAAAGTAAGTGTGATGGTAGTGTTCATTTGGCTTGTTTTATTCACTCCCTCTCCTTATTTGCATCAACACATCATAATGAAATCTATTCCAGGTACAACCATTATCTTGAGCTGTTGATTTCTTCTGTGTTGCAAATTCTTGTCTATCAGGAAAGCTGGAGGGGGGGAGGCTGTTGTACATAATTGATAGACTTCCCATTCAGTACCTATTCCGAAGGGGTGATGTATGTATTTCATGCTGTCCTGTAATTTTTTTCTCCCAAGTCACCATTTTTTTTCCTTCAATTGGGTCATTTTTTTCACCTCCCTCCCCAACCTCAAAGCTACTTGTTATCTAAAAATCTGTTGTTCTCCCTGCAATTGTCAGGTTGATCTTTTAGTCACCCAAGGGAAAAAGGTTGAACCAAGGAGAGCTAGATTATGCTTGGGCAGATAGCCCCCCTGGCGTAAATGGCACTGGGTGCTCAGCAGTGCACGCAGAATCCAGAACATGGTTTCATCCCATGTGGCAGGGAGCCGGTGCCCCTAGCTCCGTGTGTGCTATCGGTGCTGTTTTGCCTGAGACCTTCTCCTTGGGCAGCAGCCCCTTGAATCAGCAACAAAGGTAGAAGAAAGTAGATACCACAAATGCTTTCATTTTGAGTTTTTTTCTATTTAAAGTCAAGGAGGGGGGAGGGAGAGGGTAGTGAAATGTCAGCCTCGCAGATGATGCGTCTCACCAGGAGTTGTCGGTGAATCAGGTCTCCCTGAAACGTGGCTTTGCAGACCTGGTGGAAAGGGGCTGCCCGACTGTCTGCCCCCTCCCTGCCCTCAGGGATTTCAAGGGAATCAGGGTGGGTGAGGTGAGAGAAAAGCCCTCGTTGGCCTTAAAGCAGATGTCACAAGGCAGCTAAAGTGGAGAGCAGCCTGCGTTAGGGCCTGCACTTGTCAAGGTGGCTTTTGTTGTTTGGGAAGAGGGGATAGTCTCTCCCGGTGAAACTCTGGCGTCCAGCACCACAACACTGGGTCATCTGGTCTGTGACTCGGCCTGTTGAACATGGTGGGGGTAGAACCAAGTTTGGGCTGAGACGCAGGCTTCCTTCTGGAGCCAACCATCTCTCTCCTGACCATGTCTAAAACCAAAGAATGACATAAAGAGAAAAACCCAATTTGTAATGTGTCACACTAAGACATCAAGGGGGAAGAAGCCAGAGTGACAGGGACGAGATGGTGAAGGTTCCTCAAGGGCGTGAGGGTGGAGAGCACACATGGCCTCGGGCTCTTCGGTGGCTCATTGGTGCACAGCCACCTGCTCCGTCCTCACACTAACTCCAGGAACAGGTCCACACACGTGACCCCTGAGGAAAGCGAGGCATGGGAGAGTATGTGACTTGTCCAGGGACAGGCTCATAGTGGCAGAGGGTAGTTTCAAGCCAGGCCCGGCTGCCTCTAAGCTCATATTGGTGATGGCTCTGCCGACTGAGCTCAAAGGAGGGCAGACTTGGAGCAAAGGGAAGAAGACAGGAGGGGGTTGATGGTTGAGTCATTGGAGGGTGAGGAGCCATTGGAGGGGTTGGGGGACTCCAGGGAAGTGGAGGAGAAACATGGGGGGCTGGAAGCATGTGGGGAAGTGCTTGTGGGAGAGGAGGACCAGGCCTCAGGGTTGGGGAGTGAATTAGAAGGGCTCTGTAGGAATCAAAGTGGCAACTGTACTGTGGGGAAAGTGCCTGTGGGAGAATGTGCAGCAGGTTGACCTGGTGCCGTGAGTACCTGTCCCACAGATGGCAGGCCTGTGGGTTTTGCTGTGCTTGAGGCAAGAGGTGTCACACCACTGTTCCTTTTGGTATTTGGTTTCTCCCCTCTGATGTTGTCCCCATAGTTTCCCTGTCACTACATATTTTTTACAAACCATCTTGGGTTTCTCTGCATGATTCTTTTGGAGAAAGATAGTTGGGGAAACATGACTTGAAATATTTGGGGGAGTTTGTGGGATTTGCTTGAGTTAACACTGGTAGTCATATGATTCATACCAAGAGAAGACTTAAAGTTGTGGGGACCTTGATGAAGGTTGAGTAAAAAGTTGTGCGCTGACAAACTTATAAAAGGCAAATAATCTTGTGGAAAGAGGTCACAGGAAATAGGGAGACAGTGTTGTCTTTAGGGTGCAGGTTGGGCTAGTTGGCGGCTGAGCCCAGGACCACCTGGAGGTTTAGACGGAGCTTGACTGATGATAATGTCTCTGTCTTCTGATGCCATCGTCCCTGCCTCAGTGGCAGAGAACTCACCATGTGCACACCCGGCCCCACCTGGCGACAGGGGAAGCTCTGTTGGATCATAGAGGAAAGCCTGCCAGCTTTTGCCTGCATCTGCTGCAGCCATGGTGTTCTCCTCCACATCAGAGGTGCTGGGGGCTGAGGGAGGCCACTTACCTTCTCCTTTTCTTCCCTTGCAGTGACCCTAGAGCAGTTCTCCCTGGCAGTGAGGAGCTGTCCTGACCCAGAGGACCAGGCCTTGTTAATGAAGGTAGGTTCGCAGATAAGGTACTGATTTCCTTAAAGGCTTGCAGCATTTTTATTGCCCCAAGGAGAGCTTCATTTTTACAAGCAGGAGTAAATTTATCATCTCTGAATTTTGTGCTCCTCGGGGATAAACTTGTCATCGGTGGGTAGGAGGGTTGCTGGTTAATGAGCACAACCGCGTCCGTGGAGTGCAGCAAAGTGACAGGAGAGTGGGTGTCAACTACTGGCGGGGAATCTATTTAATTCTCCTGAGGCCTCGGTGGGTTCTATTTAGGCTTATCTGACACAGTCTTGATTCTTTTAGCAGATTTATGAGGGTTGGCCAAATTCCATGACTCCCACCGTACTTTTTAATTAAGACCAAGGATTCCATACGTTCTGTGTCTGCCACATCCTCACTTGCGTCACCACGGGGAATGCTACACAAATGGGACTTTCTGTGTTAACCAGGGACTGGGTGTCTTATGTCATAGATTCCTTGTCCTTGAGTGGAAGACAAACTCTTTTTCTTGGTAACAATTGTTTTATTTCCTTCCCACTGACAAAGGAGCTGAAGTGTGGTATAGCTTACATTTAGGATTGAGCCGAAAGTGTGGGAAAATCAGGCCAGCAGCCTGCAGGAATTACTTTGTCTTTGAAGACAGAAAGCAGTCGCTCCCAGTGACTGACAAAGGCACACATGTGCCTCCCCACCGATGGCTGAGACTCATGTTGTAACCTAGAAACTGTCTGAGACTGACCTTGACACATATGCATTTCCATGATGTCATTTCAGCTCTGTACCATCAGGAAACTGTACCAGGAATTGCATTTCTCTACCTAAACACCATGCCAGGTGTCCTCTGATTTTAGAAATGGGTGGGAAAAAAATAGGGTGTCACTGTAAGGGATTTTCAGCTCATTTGCCTAAGATGTGATATTTTTGGTCTGTCTTTTTTTAAAAAACTTTCAATAATGTTCATTTTATAATAATGAAGTGCTGATCCCCAATGTTGGGTTTGTCTGGGAGACCTGGCCTGCCAGGGTCATGGGGACATTACAATAACTTCTGATTGTGTGGAGTCAGGCACGTAAGCTTTGCTTGCCATTTGGAGGTTCTCCACATTTAGCTGTTGGTTCTCCACTTTGAGGTCAGTTCCCCAAGGACCCTTCTTCTATACACAGGTTGGATTTCTGTGGCCTTGAAGCAGCAATAGAGCCCCAGATTCTTACCCCTTTACCTCCAGCCACAGTATTCAAGATGATGGGCCTAGGGCCTTTGGCCAGCATTTTGTCCCACCAACTGCTGCTCCTGGCTTCTTTCTTGTTCTTCCTTGTTTCCCATCTTCCTTCTTCACTGTGTTGCTGTGTGCTGGGCACACTCCTGTGTGCTGCATGGTACTGGGGAGCCCGCCGGAAGTCAGTGGGCATCTCAGAGGCTGTGTGGGGCAGAGTGCACAGGGCACTGGGCCCAGCTTCAGGAGAGCAGATCTCCGGTCCTGTGCCCTGGGAGTGGGATCTCAGCAGCTCTGAGTTTCTTTAGGTCTGTTGAGAGAAGGTGGAAGAGATGCCCCCCAAGCCACCTTCTCCCAGTATTTTTCAACTTCTTAGGATCCCAGCTGCCCTGGGCTGACTTCTCTGCAACATTCGGTTAGAGACTAACAATTTGGGGTGGGAGAGAGGTGAAAGAGGCCAAGACATCCCGGAATGTACACGGTCTCCAGCCGCTTGCAGCTTTTTTTCTTCCCCATTGGTTTCTTCAGACTGACTGTGGCAAACCAAAAACGATGTCTGTGGGTGTTTTCTCAATATTTGCAGATATTTGAACAGGCATCATCAAAGAAGTTTCACTGAACAAAAAAATGCTCAGTTCATATATACTGAAACCATTTTATGATTTTTTTCAGGAGATTGAGGTTTTTAATGTGACATATCGGAGAGCACCTTGTGGGTGTGGCAGTAGTGGGTAGGATTTTTGTAGCTTGTGGGAGAACTTGCTCAGGGTGACAGCAGATTGGCCTACAATTGAGTATATGTTTACCAAGGGGAGGTGTTTACTTTTCAGATTATCTGGAACAAACTTAAATATTTAACACCACCACACTGGGTATAAAGGTGTTGGAGGCAAAACAACAAAACAAAAAACCAAAAAACCAAACTAAGAAAAAGCCAGATCTGGACCAAACATGGTATTTTATAAAAGGATATTTCAGATGCATACTGCTGCATCCCTACCATGTCAGAAATCATTGGGACCTGTAAGCAAATATTTTGTTCTGACCTGTGAAGGTGCTCTTTATGAGACTACAGAGAAGATGCAAGAGATGAATATGCAGCTAAGTCAAGGTCAGGTGCAGGTCTACCTGAGAGCAGATACCCCAGGAAAAACAGAACCAGTGCTTGAGAGTTTGGAAATGGCAGAGGCAGAATGTTCCACCTGATAACCAGAAGGAGCCGAGGAGAGGGGAAAGGAAGTGACTCTTTACCACCACGAAGCCAGTTGGCAGGCTGTGGTACTGGAACCAGAAAGCCAGGGCTGCTGGACCTTCAGACTCGATTTCTTCCTAGGACCTCTACCCAGATGAGCAGGTTCACAGAGAAATCCAGCCCCTCACTCCCCCAGGGCAATGTGGGAGGTAAGACTACAGGGGAAGCCCAGACTGTCTGCTGTGGCTGGCTTGTGGAGTCACTCACACTGCCTGTTTGTCACACCCTGTTGGCTAAGAGGACCACAAGACAGGAGAGAGCAGGTTTCTGTGACTCAGTTTCCTACCCACTGAATAGAGGTCAAGGCTGTCATTGACATGATTTCCCGAATACTGCAACCCGGTTAAGGGAAGAGGTGCTCAGGGATAAGATGCTTGCCTTTCAGTGAGATTTCACTACTCTTCTATCATTAGAAAGATTTAGTGTCTATCAAGTATTTATACGATCCCATTCACATTTCATCTCCACACTTAACTGCTTCTTCACTTGTTTGTTCTGCTGGCCATTTAATGGTGCCTCTTGCTCACTATTCTGTGTCCACTCACCACTCTGCTGTGACTCCAGGACACATTTAAGAGTGCTAGGCAGCTCTGAATTTCACCCATCTCTGTCCTCCCTCCTCAGCCTTAGAGCCGTAAGGCCATTGAAGACACTCCCCGGTCCTAGGCTGCCTCTGTTCCTCTCCTGCAGCATCTTCCAGCGTCATCCCTATCCTTCTGTCCCAAAATAGAGCCCCTGGGCTTCATCCCTCAGATGCAAGTCCTATCCCTGAAAACCAGGACCCAAGTGTGGCCATGGGCAGGTCACTTTGATCTCTATTAGCCTAGTGACCTTTTCTGAAAAGGAGAAGGTGAATTTGATTACTCCAAGATGGTTCCATATGGTGTCCATATGCTGTGAATCTTGCTTGGACATTACCAGCAAGCCTGCTAATCTAGACATGCTTGAGGATGGACCCACCTGCCCTCTACTGCCTGTTCTTTGTCCTTCTCCGTTGGAAAACTAACTTTCTCAGAGTCCCACATCCTACATGTCACTCTGTGGATTAGAGGTTCTAGCTGTAATTCCCTCTCTCCTTTGGAATAGGGGGATATGGAACTTATCCAAATCTGGACTTTTTGTTGAGGGTGAAAGAGGGCACCATGAAAAATTAAGCTTGATGTGATTCTCAGTGATGCACACTTGAAATTTATATGATATAATAATGACATGTTTTTAAATAGATTGATTTATTTTGTAGAAGAACTGGGTGTAGGCCAGAGGTGAGGGGTGGTTAGAGATTCACCAGAGACAGAGTGGGGAGCACATCAGGCAGATTTACTGAAATACCAACAGTGACATGTTACTTCAATTGAAAAAATTAAATAAATAAAATAAAAATTAAGCTTGGATGGGAGGCTTAAACCATGACTGTGCCAGGCAAACTAAGGCATCTAGTTAGCCTATTTTTGAATGAAGTCCCTTAACCAAATAGCTCTGCCTCATCTATTGGGGTTCATTCTCAGTGCTTGGTCTAGATTTTCTTTACCCCCTGCCACCCTCCAGAATTATCTCCTTTTAAAAATCATGACTTCTTTATAGTAATGGAAATTGGCAAGAAGACAGGTCAGGCTGCATTTGGACCATCTTTTTCTAAATCAAATGTAAATGATCACACTTCCTCCTTTTGTTCTCTGGGGAGTTTCTTACACATCTGGCAGCAGCTGCTTCCAATATGGGTGGAAGACACAGGCCCAGCACTGGTACTAAAAGCATCTGAGGCTCTCATCTTCTGGACATCTTTGCTTTCCTCAGAAAAGCTGGAAAAGCAGGGTGGATGTTTGGGAAATAAGTGACCCTTCCTGGGAAATGCTGTCTCAGTTCAACCAGCAAGACATCATTGAAGTCTTGACTGATCTGTTACAACTGGAGCAAGACAGTAGAATGAGGTTTGGTTCTGAGTGTGGCAGCCACACTCTTTTGATGTGGACCAAATGTCCAGAACACTCCCCACCCTTTGCCCCTCCCACTCTCCATGCAGAACAGGTATGGTCACTCTGCCCAAGACCTCTGGCTAGAGGGACCATGTGAAGTTCGAGGCAGGCCTTTCTGCAGGTGGGATCTGATATTACATGACCTCTACTGTAGAAAAGAGTAACAAGAGGGCCTCCCTGGTGGTGCAAGGCGTTAAGCACCGCAATATGAAGCTATCCGCAGTCTCTGCAGCACGAGTTTGATCCCTGGGCTGGCCAGGGTGCTACCCACATGGTGCAGCAGACCTCTCCTCTCTCACCCACTGCTCCCCTCAGCAGTGTATTTCAGTCAGTCTGCCTGTTCTGCTCCCCACTCTGTCTCTGGTGAATCCTCTCACCACCCGCACCTCTGGCCTGTACCCCAGTTCTTGTATGCATAACACAAATAAATTTTTAAAAGAAAAAAAAGAGTAACAAGAACCAAGCTGCCTGCATGAAAATAAATAGTATGGTCTCAACTCTGCTCCCCAAGTGGCAGCCTTTGACAGGGCTTGTACACCAGCAGAAACAGCCCTGCATAAGCCCC